ATGTCGCATATAAATTATACAACTGTCTTAAGTTTCGAATTATTAAAATACCCAGTTCACAGGGGTGTTATGGGTGTCATTTGTTTGGGACAATTTGAAACCTTAGCTCAACCCAACTAGCACCCTGTGACATTTAGTGTTTCTGATTCTTAACCAACAGTGTCTACACCAAATAAAATGATTGGTAATTTTAATGGAATGTTCTGGTTTATAGCAAAATGTAATGCCCCCCCCCCCACTCACTGCTTCCCAAAATATGTGTGCACAAGAGCATTATACATAGTGCTGGCTGTCATCTCTGACTTTATAAGTATCACACAGTGATGTACTAGAAATCTTCCATTTACAAAGATTGTACGCATGTGGAATCTTGTCGTACAGTAACATGTAATTAAATTGAGCGATCTTTTTGCATGGCATTTTCTTAATTTTGATATTCCAAAATTTATTCCAAATTAACTGGGCATATAATACTCTTTACATGGCTTTGGCCCCAATTTCAGCATTAAAGTCACTCATGTTTTTCATTATATCATGCCAATGCTCGGTATTGCTTTCTTTAATGAAAAGTACTGTGTAATCCACTTTGTTTTATTTGGGAGCTTATTATTTAAAAGGTAGTTTTGATCTAAGAACTTGCCTTTTGGGAATAAATCAGCTGTACTTATGAAACCAACCTCAATCCATTTCTTGTAATATAAACACCCTCCATTGTCTGTTAACTGGTGATTCCCCCAAATTATTTGTTCATTTAATGGAGTCGGTTTCATACATTCAACATGTAGTTTATATTCATACCAGCTATTAAGTACATTCTCTGGTAAAAACTTAATTAATTATTTAACATTACTCTTTTTAAATTTAATCTGAAGATAATATCATTCCCCCAAACTCACTGAAAAAATCTCAGTCCAGGCAACACCCTTTCCTGCAATTATTCTTTGAACCCATGTACATTGCAATGCTGTTATCGTTGCTTTAATATCAATCATTTGTATCCCCATTCTCTATCTTATTAATCACAATTCCACGATTAACTTTCCCCCTTTTTCTACCCCACGAAAAATCGTAAGACAATTTTTTAACTTTGGCTATGACATGTCTGGGAATAACAATCACTGATACTGTGTATGTAATTAAAGAGATTATTAATGTTTTTAGAACAATTATTCTACCAAATACTGTTAAAAAGAATTTCCTTTCAGTTCCTAAATATATGCCAAGTGCCTTTATTGGCGAATTTGGCCAGGATATAATACCCAAGTCCCTCCTCTTTTTCCACTTGCCGATCTTGAGTCCCTCCAATTTGTGTTTACTCTATTTTAACCCAGCATATTTGCCATACTCGTCAATTAAATTGAGCAGACTCGTAACATATTTGTCTGTTCTTATGTAAATTTGGGTATCATCCGCCAACTGGCTAATCTTTTTTCCTGTTATATTTTCCCATTACTCACTTTAATTCCTTTAATATTTTTAACAATCTGAGATAAAACTTCGGCAACGATTAAAAACAACAGAGCTGACAGGGGACATTCCTGACAAATTCCTCGTTTAACCTCGAAAAGGACAGATCCATCCAGTTTTTATCCATCCAAGGAAAGATTGTCCAAATCCGAAGTTTTTAAGACTTGCTAACAGGAAATTGTTTTCTACCGAATCAAACGCCTTATAAAAGTCAAGAAATAAAATAGCGCCCTCTTTCTTCTTTTTCTCACCAACTCTATGACATTCTCTATAAGTCGCACATTTTGCCCAATGTAGCGCCTCTTCATGTAACCGACTTGGTCGTTGTTAATTATTAGAGGCAATACCTTTTTAAGTCGACTGGCATGCACAGTAGATAGTATTTTATAATCCTGATTCAATAAAGATATTGGCCTCCGGTTTTGCAGGTCGCTTCTCGGTCCTTTCTTATGAATAATTGTAATTAATGTAATTAACTATCATTCAACGCGTCGACTACTAAATGTTTTAGCTCCTCCCAAAACGTACGGTAAAATTCAACCGGAAGACCGTCTAATCCTGGAGTTTTATTTGTTTTCATATTACCAATTGCCTTTCTACACTTTTCTTCGGTTATAAGCCCCTCACATTTATCCGCCTCTTTCTGTTTTAGTTTATTTTCTAACTCCGTATCTTTTACTTGTTTTGAATTATATAAAGCGTTATAAACCTTCACTTCCTCTTTTAATATTTGTTCTTGATCAGTAATAATATTATTGCCTAATTTCAATCTATTAAGATGTTTTGACTTGAAGCCTTTCTTCTCCAATCCCAAGAAATATTTGGTATGTCTTTCTCCTTCCTCGTACTATTTGACCCTTGACCTTACTTGTGTACCACATATTTTGGTTATGTAGATTGTCTAATTCTGCTTTATAGACTGTGTGCTGTTTTTTTTTCTAATTCTTTATTATTCTTCTACTTATCTAGTTGTAGTTCTGATTGTTTAATCTTTTCTTCCAGAATTCTATACTTTTCCCGCATATTTATGGCTTTACTCTTTGGATACTTTATTGATGTTTCTTTAATTTTTATCTTAACTACTACATCCAAAAAGATATGGTTGTCATTGATATTTTTATATTCATTTATAGTGACATTTATTAATTTTTTGATTATTTCTTTGTAATTATTGTCTTCCAGTAAACCAGTGTTTAATTTCCAATATCCCGCCCCTCTCGAGCAATTATTTAAATTGAGTTTTAGTGAAATGGCGTTATGATCTGCTTTGATGGCAGGTCTGATATCGGTGGGTGGACTGTACGTTTGATAACATGTGTGCTGAAATTAACCAGAAATCTAGCCTGCAAGCAATACCTAGCATAGTGTTTTTTGTATTAATTTCCCTCCTAATATCAAGTAATTTCAGCGACTTTATCATGCCATATAATTTATTTGGTTTGGTTTCATTATATTATTGCGGCGATTCGATCGCTTATCAATGTCGGAATCAAGCACACAGTTATAATCCCCACCCAAAAAGGTATCTTATCGGTGTGTTCTTTCTGTGCTGATATATGCGGGTTTTCATCGTAAATTACTACCCGCTTTCCACGAAGGTTTAAGCATTCGATTGATAAAATCAAGCGATCTGAACTGTCTTTGACGTACAAACGCCATAGCCTACGTATTCTCTGTATACCAGTTATATCGGTTTAAACAACTCCGAACACGACATATTTAACGCTCCTTCCGTAACCACAGCAACATGTTTTAGGAAAACTGGTTTAACCTCATCACTGTTGTCACTGCTATTGGTCTCTCTCCCACTTAACGCTGCTGTATACCTCTTTCTTGCGTAATTCTGGCTGGACGTCATTGATATGCTAATGACTGTAAGCGCTGATTTCACTCTCAAACTTTCAACAAAGTGAAACTTTTTTCACTCTTCTTTTTAACTTTCTCACTTTCGTTATTCCACTCAGCTTCTCTCCCAGTCTGACGACTACAACTGTCTCTTACATTGTGATGTTCTCGCTACCGATCACGATTATTTCACCAACGATTATATTAAATTATTCAACACGAAGCAAAAGTTCTATTTCGTAGTACAGCCTCGCTTTCACTCCTTGGCATGCCTCAATATTTGAATATCCCTAGAAAGTTTAAATGTTCAAATACGAATATGATTCTTATATTTCTTTGTTGATATGTTCAGTATGACCTCTGTGTCATCCATTAATTTATTGAGCTGATGTTTTATATTACTCTTTTCTAATTGCAGTAAATTTGTTTTCACAATAGTCTAATTATTATTATCATTTTTATATTATATTAGGGGTTCTCTTGTAATTTTAAGCTCACTATTTATTATATTATATATTTCTTATAATCATCACTTTCATTCGAAAAAAACCGTTAAAATTAACCGTGATTATATATGCTTCACCATTAAACAACAGACATTAAATGAACAGTATAATGGCTCTACAATCACTCAACTTGTATTTTAAAAACTGATTCGTATTTAAGACAGCATGATGCTATATTTTTATTAGCTCCTCTGTCGACTTTGTCGAGCGGAGCTTATCATATGAGTGATTGTCCGTCGTCGTCCGTGTCAATGTTTTACTTTTTCGATTTCTTCTTGAAAACTACAAGCCTGAACCTCTCTCAGATTTGTTCATTTCATGATCATATCTTCAATTATCTAATTTTGGTGAATATTTTGTCATTTTTGGTAAAAAGTGATATTGATATTACATATATAGGTACTACATGTGGATCTCTCTCAGATTTGTTCATTTTGTAATGATATCTTTAGTTCTCTAATTTTAATGAATATTTTTGTCATTTTTGGTAAAAAGTGATATTTTCAACTTCTTGTTAAAAACCGCAAGTCCAATTGCTTTGATATTACATATATAGGTACTACATGTGGACTGCTCTCAGATTTGTTCATTTTGTAATGATATCTTTAATTCTCTAATTTTGGTGAATATTTTTGTCATTTTTGGTAAAAAGTGATATTTTCTTCTTGTTAAAAACCACAATCATTTATGGTGAAAAATGATATTTTTGAATTCTTGTTGAAAACAGCAAGTTCCATTGCATTGATACTATGCATATTGTTCATTTTCTAATGATATCTTCTGTTCTTTAATTGAAATGTGCATTGCTAACAGCGGAGCTATCTCAGCCGAGAGGCTGCTTGTTTTGTTATTGTCATAAGGTTATTAACAATATTTCTCTAACATGCGTAAGAGCCTTTACTATACGCACATTGGCAAGTTAAATTGGGCAACGCCAACCTCTTGTTTGGGTTATTACTGTCACTGTGTAAGGCCTCCTTGTTGATGTTGCGAGGGACACCCACAGAACTCAAACTGGGCAGGGGTTTCTTTCACTGCTAGAATGGGGTAGACATCACAATAGTACTGGAAATGAAATACACACACACACCAAAATATCAAGTTAAAGCTCCTGGCTTTAATACTTTTTCAAAATAATTACAAGAAAAAGCACGGAATAATACAATGAATAAATTCACTAAAATGGGGGATTGCCTAGTGAAGTGTGCATTGGTGATAACTCAATCACAGTTACAGGATGCAGAAATTGTTGACAGTCAATGGATTCTGCAACACATCAACGAAGAGATACAGGAGTCTTGCTTGCAGAGGAACGCTGTTATCCTAGAGGGCACCGTAGATAGCAGTAGATCGCAAAGCAGTTCATACAAGTCTCACAGAATGACGATTGAAACCTGTATCACTTGTCTCACAATATCCCAGCAGCAACACAAAGAGTACTCGGTTGAAACAGTGGTCCCCAACTGTCCTCAGTCTAGCCTATTTATACCCGGGTTCCGCAGGAGCCAATCAGAAAGTAGTCTTGTCAGCAGCTGTCGCGCAATGACATGCAGGCACTCTCTTAGGCAGGCAGGCAGGCAAGTCGGTAGATTGTGAACATCCTTAGTTATGTAAATCAAAAGCACGTACGCACAAGCACAATTATCCTTCCTGGCAATCACCTTAATGGCAGTTATCACGCGGCAATCCACACAGTTTATTCTCATGATTCCATGCTCACTTCTATTTGCAGGGTTTCAGGTAATATAAAACACATAGAGTAAAGGATGTCGACAATTATGTCATGTTATGTCTAGTTATAACGATTATTATGTCGAGTTATATCGACTGTTATTAAATTAAATCTTGTTATGTCGATTGTTTTGTCGTGTTGTGTCGTTTATTATGGTCGATTATCAGTTACTTGTTTGCCAACAGTCACTTTACATATAAAAAGTATTTCTTTTTGTGAGACACTAAATTCAACATTTAACAGTCTCAGGATTACCGTCGAATAAAGCCGTACCAGTATTGAATCCCACGTTTTCTATTTTTACACAAATGATACACCATCGTCTCAATACAAACTACCCCCTGTAATGTGTTATTCACAATACTGACTCCAACATGGCTGAAAATATCACTGTCGAAAAGTTGCAACAATTGCTTTGCAACAAGGAGCTGTCTATGACAGAGCGTTTTCAGGGAATGTTCAGCTAGCGTGATCGAGGCGGCGAGAAAGTCACATATAGTTTGCTCACGTGCTTAGACGACTCATCAGCACATCTAAAACACGAGGCAATATTTTGTATTGACAGATACAAGACTCATACGCCATACTATATCAATGTCCAGGAAGACGCATGTCAAGAACCAATAGTGCGACATGAAGCAGGTAAGAATTTTCACCAATCGCTCGTGCTTTACTGCAACAGTATCTGTTAAAGTTTCCGACCTGCTTTTAAACAATACAGGACTTCAAAGTGAAATTATAATAATTTATTTTTCCATGTTAGTTCGTCTACAATCTACTTTCTTCAGTCTCACACGTTTGCCATTAAAATCGTTTAAGTATATCATTTTACTGAATCTTAGATTGCTGAGACCTGTCAATTAGCACTGGCAAGAATCAACTGGTTGAATAGTAATAAACATATTTAAGTCGAGATTCCATACAAAAGTGTTGATCCAGCCCCAGCATCAGATGATGACAATATTGAGTCATTGAAAGGCACATTGCTGAATGAGTCTTTACCATTGTTTGATCAATATAGAACAATGTTTGCATTAAGGAACAAGACAAGCGAAGAATCAGTCCTGCGCCACAGCACAACAATTTCTGTATTTTGTAGTGTTACACAAAAAAAATAGTGTCAGTATATGTTTGAGAGACTTGTTACTATGGCAATGCTGACAACGAGACTGATGACGTACTCGGCCACACATATCTCGTGAAAATAAAAATGATCTACTTTTATATTATATATTATATTCTGTACGAAAACACAAACAATATTGATAACCCGTTTATCATATCTATCCGCTAGGTTTGAAAGCCAGTAGCAAACTGCCACGACATGAATTGGCGTTTACACTTGGGCAAATGAGAAACGAGGCTGGTGACGCACTTGGAAGGAATGCTCATAACATGATATTTATAGTGTTGACTGACGCGTTGAAAAATTCTAACGAGAGTCCAATCGATCGCCACGAATGTGCGACTGCTCTGGGAGAAATTGATAAAAAGGATTGTATGCAGGTCTTGGAAGAATATTTGCATGACGACGAGGCTGGTGTCATTGGAAGTTGTCAGCTTTCATTGGATATGTATGCTCACTCATTACTTAGCAAGTAAAAGGAATGAATCCAATGCATTAAGAACCACTAAACATTCCCATGCATAGACAAATTAAACACACTCGCCCAAATACAATAAGATATTGGATACTGGATTATTTGTTGTTCCAGTCCATGTAATGGATTACATGGTTTATGAATGGTTAGTTATCAACGCTTACCTAATAATTAACACACATAGTATAGTTGATAAGGTAAATGAAATTGCGTATGTGAAGAAGTGAACAAAGTATCGAACATGTCTCTGTGGCATTGAATTAACCGAAAATTAGTATCTATGCAGTATTGCAAGGTATAGTTTTTTTGTCAATCTTAAGAGCAATGGTGTTTAAGGTTGATTGTTATTTTTCTTACATATTTGTGTAGATCATAATATCTAATTGTTGTTCATCGAGTTTGGCATATACTTGCATGTAACATTGAATAGTTCTTATCTTCAATAATAGTTTGCACACAGTTTGAATCTAACTTTAGTTTGTAGAATAACAAATCCCAGGTTTCCATTACAATGTACATTTTTCTAATTGTAGAATACGAGTAGTAGTGTTTTTCATAGTTCTCTTGTAATTTTAAGCTCACTATTTATTTTATTTTATTTTATAGTTCATGTAATCATCATTTTTATTCGGTAAAAAAACGTTAAAATTAACTTTGATTATATAAGCTTCATCATTAAACAACAAACATTAAATGAACAGTATAATGTCTCTCCAATCACTCAACTTGTATTTTGAAAACTAATTGGTATTTTAGACAGCATGATGCTATATTTGCATTTTGTAATCAGTCACCGGTCATACAATAGTCTAATTAACCTTTTATTATTTCAGGTATTAGCTCTTTTTTATCAAAATTCCTGATTACCAAAAATACAAGGTCTTCATTGATGATTTGAACATTACATTATATGATTCCCCAAGTTCTATTAGCGTCGTGTTGTTCCGGCATAATTAAGAGTGTTACTTCACTTTAAGCTGAATGGTCGATACAAGTGGACCAAGGCATGGAATAATTTTAATTGCATTTTATTTTAAAACATATCACATCTGTTTTCATTTCATTGATATCGAGAAAATTGACAAAACATACATGAACATGCATGATATACATGCTAGTAATGCGATACGAATTAGGGCACATGTCTTGAATAACGATATTATAAAAGAAAGAAAAAAAAATATACAATCTGGTTACTTGTTATTAAAGTTATATTGTTTCTAGTATACCGCACATTTTGTACTTAACAGTTACAGTGCTAAAAAGTATCACAGCAATTACAAAAAAAAAATCATCTGTGTATAAACATACATAAAATGAACAACGTGTGTTTATATCGCGTTAACACTCCCATGATATTTTATTTCATTGAACAAAAAGAAACAATAAATAAGAGACAAGAGTCCAGAGAATGTATGCAAGTCTAACCGCGACCAACATTAACGTATGCTTGTTATGCACGTATGCAAGTAATAATGCACATTGGAGGCGTACAAGTAGGCAAACATACAATGAAATACAGTGACGTTTGAATATATATATACATGTATGACATACCTACATTATCTATAATTATATCGAGTGTAATAATACGACGACCTGCCCTGCCAGTTTAGTTATAATATTGTCTGGCGACTATATTGTTGCTAGGCTACCATGATCGTATTATAAAAGCTAGACTGCTCCACGACCATCATTATATGATAGTTATACTGTCCCAGACCAACGTATTATGATAGTCGGACTGTCCCAGACCATCGTATTATAATAGTCAGACTGCCCCAGACCATCGTATTATAATAGCTTGGTTGTCCCAGACCAACGTATTATAATAGTCGGACTGTCCCAGACCATCGTATTATAATAGTCGGACTGTCCCAGACCAACGTATTATAATAGTCGGACTGTCCCAGACCAACGTATTATGATAGTCGGACTGTCCCAGACCATCGTATTATAATAGTCAGACTGCCCCAGACCATCGTATTATAATAGCTTGGTTGTCCCAGACCAACGTATTATAATAGTCGGACTGTCCCAGACCATCGTATTATAATAGTCAGACTGCCCCAGACCAACGTATTATAATAGTCAGACTGCCCCAGACCATCGTATTATAATAGCTTGGTTGTCCCAGACCAACGTATTATAATAGTC